ACGTGAAGGCAGAGTGTGCCAGTTCAGGCTTTCTCACCACCGCTCTGGTTCTGAGCATCGAGGAAGAGCACTCTCTGTGGTCTTTGTGGGTGAGCCTTGTTCCCAGAGGACACCAGCTGCCCTACCTGGGTGTGCGGCTCCCTGCCTGCTGGCCCCTTCTCGATGGACTGCGTTCACTTTCGCTCCAGACTGTGAGTGTGGCTGGTTTTGAAGCCGGGGATAACTTCCTCTCACTCATTTTCCCGTCCCTTCCACTCAGGAGGTCTGGAGCGGTGCCCCTGGGCCGACGAGCTCAGCTGGGCATGCGGCTGCCAGCAGGGCTGGCGTCTCCCAGCGGGTCTCCAGCCCTCAGGCCCCCCTCACTGAGTGCTTAGGCTTTCGCAGCCCTAACACCCCACAGTTCCTGCTGAGGGCTCGTCAAGAATCTCGTCTACCTGTGTGATCTCAGGCGCAGGAGCGCGGGCAAACGCCAGCTCAGGCCTCCTGCACGCTTTTTAACCAACCTTGTACCTCTGAGCCAAACTCGTGACACTGGGCTGAGCTGGCACAGAAATCAGTCCTGGGACTTGGACATTTTGTGTTCTACACACTTCACATCCCTCAGAAAGAGACGACAGCAGCAGGTTGTCGGGAACCGGATGGTGTCCGCTGGGGGGTCCTAGGCGGGTGTGCTGTTGTCTTTCGGGGTCTCTGCTTGGCTGGGCTCTGAGTTTTAACGTAGGCTGTCAGACCACAGTTGGTGCTCAGAGGTGCTGTGTGACAGGCACCATGTCGCCAGGATGACGGGGGGTGGGGAGGGAGGCTGGGGAAGCAACCGCACGCCCTGCTTGTTGGTGAGACCGTCCCGCAGGAGCTGGGAATACCAGGCTGGAGCCCCTTCTGAAGGCCCACTGCGTGGGGTCCACGCCCTGTGGTCCTAGGCCCGTGACCAAACCTGCCCATCATAGGATTGCTGGTGCTCACTGGAGTTCCCTTCCTGACTCCATAGCTGACCCTCGAACCTCCCAGGGAGGCAGCTGGCCTTCTGGGTGGGCCTCTTGGTGGTGAAGCAAGTTTAGGGAGGCCCTTCCGAGGTGTACCTGGAAGCCTCCGGCTCTCGTGGAAATAGGAGGCGTGGGACCCCATGGTGAGAGGCCAGGACAAGTGTTTTCTTACAGAGCGTGTGCTGAGTGTGGGTGGGAGGTGAGGAGGGGTGCTCTTATCTGCAGACCCACCTGGCCTGACCCAGAGCTTAGCAAGACCGGCCTGGTGGCCAAAGGGCCTCGTGAACCTGTGACGCCTAGAGCTGGAAGGAGCTGGTCGGCCGTCCTGGGCCTGCCTCTGCCTCCCTGTGCTCCAGGCGGGGGCCTCCCTGGAGCCATGCTGTCAAGTGTGGTGTGAAGCCAGGGCTCACCTTCTGGCCATCAGAGCCATGGTGGGTGGCAGTGTAGCAGGTGGCAGACACTGAGTGTTGACCTTGAACTGCCCTCGTTGCTTTGACCTTGGCCCTGCCCGGCTGGCAAGCCTGTGGCTGGCCTGCTTTAGAGGCAGGAAGACCGTGGCCCTTCCCCCAGGTGGTGCTTCCTGGAGGCCTGCCTGGAGGAGCCACTCCCCCGTGAGGGAGAATCAGGAGGTCGAGCAGAGGGAGGGCTGGCGTGGGAAGTGGAGGCCAGGGCCAGTTCTGGCTTCTGCTGTGGACCCGTCCTCAGGCCCTGCCGCCTCCACTCTCCCCACCAGCGAGGTGGGCCATGTGTCCTGGAATGACTGGGGTTCATCTTGCCTGGGGACCGTCCCATCCCTGAGGACAGGCGCTGCACCGTGAGTGACGGGCCGTTCTTCTGCATTTTATTGTGATGGGAGGTGGGTCTGAGGTGGAAAGGACCATGAATTCTGTGGCCCTGCGCTCCGTGAGTCTTGGTCTCTCTGTGGAAGTACTTAGAGGGGAGGTGGCCGGCGTAGGGGTGCTTTTCTGACTTCCAAGTACCGTGGGTTTTTAACTGACTTTGGGGACCCCACCCATCCTCGCTGTTTCTGACTGGGGTCTGTGGAGCCCCCACCCCAGGCCATGCAGGTGCGTCTGGAGGCCTTGGGCAGCCTGTGTGCCACCGTGGGGTGGGCGGTGGCAGGTCTGGGTGTCTAGGAAGATGCCGTGCAGGTCCCCAGTGAGGCGCGGCCTCGGGCCCCGGCCCCCAGCCCGCAGAAGGAGGCCCACCCGAGGGGCTCAGTGGGGTTGGCCCTGGCGGGTGTACTGGGCTGGCAGCCCTGCGTCTCCCGCCCCCAACAGAGCTGCCCGTGGCTCTGGCTCTGGCTCCCTCTTCCTTTGGTCGCTGTTCTCCTTTTTGGATTCTGTTCTGTGATTTCATGCTCCGCAGCTGAGCTCCTCCTGGCCGCCCGGGGGCATCCTCTCCCCCTCTGTGAAGGGGATCAGCGTCCTCTGGCCCACTGACCCAGGCAGTCCTGGGGAGCATCACCTTTGTCCTGCCGGGGCGTGGGGCATGGGGCAGGCCAGGCAGCGCTCTGTGAGGCCGTCCGCTGGGCCAGCTCAGGGGTTACGGGGACCTCTGAGGCCGTGATCTCAGGCCTTGAACAAGCTTTCTGCTGGGGAGTGTGGCCCCTGCTGCCACCGGGATGGCGAGAGCACGGGTGCCAAGGCTGGCCCGCTGATCTGGGGCGGGGACGGGATTCGGGGAGCAGCGCGGTTGACGAGTGGGATTGGGCACGAAGTTCCAGGTTCCATCCTGCTGGGCCAGGACTTGGAGCAGCAGCCCGATCCCTGGGTTTCAGGAAGGAAGGGGTGCGTCACGCTGACATGGGGACAATCTGAGCAGGAAGGACAGGCAGCGCCAGCTGTGCCCTCCAGCAGACCCCGGAGCTGGAGTCAAGGTGGCGCCTTCTCCTTGGGAATGGCTGCAGGTGGTCCAGGCTCGTGGGTGCTGTTTAGGGAGACTTCGTGATATTAGGTGGGGGGACAGGGGAGGTTACCAGCTTTCATTTTAAGGCAAAGGAACAAAAGGTAGTTGGATACACACCTTGGAGCGTGCCTGCCGAGTGCTGGGAACACAGCCCGTCTTCACCTCCCTGCACTTGTGGGGTCCCCAGACCATCCAGGTTACAGGTCCTTGTCTTAGAAATCTAGTGGGGAAGTGATTTAAGTCCTCCTGCTGAGCCTGTGTGTGTGTGCGTGCACGCATGTGGGCGTGTGCGCGTGTTCATGCCGTGGTGGGTGGAGGGGCTCAGTGGTCACCAGCATTGTCATATGGTGTTGGGTGTCAGGGCGTCTGTTCTTTCCCTGTCTGTCCCCCAGCGGACCCCATCTGGTCACCTGGCAGGGGGGTGCCTCCTCCTGGGGTGCTTGTCCCCATCTGGGCCGTGGGGGTGGTGGTGGGACTCATCTGCCCTGATGTGGTCTGCTCCCGACTCATGTGCCCTTTGGTCACTCTAGCAGCTGTGGCCTCTTAGACCCCACTCTGTGGTGTCTTCTGAGAAGTTCCTCCACCTCCCAGGCTCGATGCTGTGCTGGACATCACTGGTGGTGCTTGCTTCTCAGGGGCAGTCGCCGTGAGTTTGGGCGTGAGGGATGCCTCCGAGGGTCCAGCCCTGACGGCAGCCCCTCAAGGGGCCGGGCAGGCTCCAGGGCCACTGGGCGCTGGTTACCAGCAGCTACAGCTTGTTCTGTGAAGATTGTGGAGCGTCCACCGGGCTGGTCCGTCATGGTCCTGGGGACTTCAGTGAACAGAGCGGTTTCTGCCCTCCTCCTGGCGGACGGCGGCTGCAGGAGCCAGCACGTGGTGTGTGTGGTGGGAAAAATGGAGCGCCTTGGGGGCTGGTTTCGGGGTGCCCTCAGAAGAGAAGCTTGTGCAGCGCTTGGCGCTGGGGACAGTGGTGGCAGAGTGGCGAGGAGGTGGGTGTGGACGTGAACCCCGGCCCCATCCACTTGGAGACTGTGGGCTTTGGGCCCATCCTGGACCTGACGCCCCTGGCCCTGTGACCAGCCAGGCAGGCAGGCTCTGAGCTGCAGCGGCAGTGTGGGTGAGGGCACCCCGTCACTGGGTGTGGTGAAGGCTGGAGAGCTGGTCTGTTCAGGTGAACCTACCGCCCACCTGTCGCTGTTCACAAGGTGGGCAGTGGCCTTGAGTGGGGAGTAGCTGGCCCTGCAGACAGACCCTCTGCTCACACGGCCACCTCTGGTGACATGGGCATCTGAAGCTGTGGCTGTCCCTTTATCGTGTGTTGGGCCCAGCTGTGATTGTGGACCAGCGGGAGTCAGACTGTCCCGACGGTGACAAGGATGAGCAGTCTGCCCCCATGAAATGCAGCCCCCTGGTTTGAGTGTGAAATACTGTGGCCTGTGCGAGAGCCTGGCCCGAGAGAGAGACACCTCGGGGTGATGAGTCAGGGTCTGAAGCCATGGGGCTTTGAGCTGGCCCCGGGGAATTCCACAGCAGCCTGGAGCTGGCTGGGGCGGAGCGCACTGCCTGGTGTGTGGGTTCTGGGAGGCCCCTGGCATAGTGGAGCCATTGTCGGCTGGGTCTCATCTCTGTTACGAGGGAAGGAGTGGGCCCTGGAGGGCAGCAGGCCTCGGATGTGGAGGGGCCATTGTGCTGCGTGTCCTCGGGCATGTTAACCCACCTGTCTGTGCTGGGCAGTTCTCTGGGGCCAGGTGGGCCTGTGGAATTTCTTGCTGTTCCCAGCACCTCGATGAGGCCTGCACATCATTGGTGTCCTGGAGAGTGGGAGCCCCCACTTCTCGCCCTTGCCCTGAGACCTGGAAGGGGCCAGGAGCCGCGTGGCACCATCCGTCCCTCCCTCAGTGGTCAAGGCTCAACTGAATTTCAGAGCATTTCATTCAAGTAATAGACCCCAAATGTCCCCCACTGAGAGGTGTGGGGCGGGCTTACTCTGTATCTCTGGGGGGTCTGGATGGAGTTCTCGTGGGGCCATTGGAAAGGGGGTGCCACAAGAGGGTGAGGTGCCTTGTGTGGCACGGAGCTGGTCAGGGCCGAGGCCACGTGGGAGCCCCGATGGTGGTGGGCTTGGGGTCTTCATTTGCTGCAGCTCGGAGCATCGTAGACCACGCCAGGGGCAGCCGGTGCGGGCCAGAGGTGTCTGTGTCAGGTCGGACCCCGTGGGTGCTGTCCTCACTTCTGTGCTCGCGGGACGACCCGGCCGTGGAGGGGAGCCTCTGTCAGGGCCTCTGCCTGGCAGACCTGGGGCCGCGGTCCTGAGCAGGTCCTGGGACCCGACCGGGTGACTCCAGGTCTGCCTGGGCTTCTGCGTCGGTGGATGGGTGACCTTGGCAGGGACACCTTCCGGGACTGCTGGAGACGGCCTTTCCTCCCAGCCGCACAGCTGGGGCGAGCCACGGGGGCTGCGGTCAGGCTTGGGGCGAAAATCGAAGGTGTAGGCACAGGGGAATGGTGCACAACGTCCAGCTGCCGTCAATTGATTGCATTTGAGCTGCCAGCCGCCTGCCCGGTGCTGGGATATGAACTTTATAAGCGTCCTCCGTTGCCGATGTGAGACTGGAGGGCAAAGTTTGATCTTCAGCGTTAAGTATTAACTCCCGGTCTGCGGCCGGGTGCTTTCCGTTTCCATGGGTACCGTGAGCCCAGTCTTCTGGCCGTGTCCCTGGGAGTCATCTGCAGCAACAGCTGCGTGGGGGGCGATGCGGGCATCTGCAAGCAGGTCCAGGAGTGTGGGTGGGCCAGGGGCCTCGAGAAGGAGACTCCTCCGCTGTGGGGCGTGGGAACCTTGGGGCCGAGGCCTGGGTGACAGTCTGGGGCCCAGTGGGGCCTGGGAGTGAATGGCACTCTGGAATAGATGAGCTGGTCTCCTGGGCAGTGGAAGCCGGGTCTGGGGCTGTCCAGGCTCTGGCAGGTGGCTGGCTGTGGGCACCTGCTGGGGACTGGTCTGCAGGGGGCTGGGCTCCCTCCTGGGGGGCACTGGGGCAGTGCTACTGGGTGGAGAGTGCAGAGCACAAAGGGTTAACACCTTTCTTTTATGAAAAAGAGGGAAACTCCCTCTTCAGGGTAGAGATCTGGTCTGTGCAGATAAGCCCAGAGCTTCAGCAGGACCAGCCACAGCATGAGGCGCTCCGGCTCCACATCCATGGCTGCTGGTGCTGTGTGGGTTCTCGAACTGCCTGCCCAGAGCCCCGGTGAGCGTCCAGGTGGCCCCCTGTGGCTGGTGGGGGACACATGGTGAGTGGGCCCTGTCCAGGTGGCCCCCTGTGGCTGGTGGGGGGACACTGGTGAGCGGGCCCCATCCAGGTGGCCCCCTGTGGCTGGTGGGGGGACACTGGTGAGCGGGCCCCGTCCAGGTGGCCCCCTGTGGCTGG